GGTTAGATTTCTGAAAGAAAAGTAATTAAAAAAATAAGCTTTGAAAAGTTGGAACACGAATAGCTTTAAGGTTTTTAAACTTTTAAAAGTGTTTTTTTTTAAATAAGATAATATACACGCAAGCAATTTGGATTTTTTAAAAATAATTTATTCGCAACACATCGAGTCCCCCTATTTTATATTGTAGTTTTTCTTTATCATTACATTTAAATAAACATTTACAATAATTATTAAAAACTTATGCTTCACTTGGATATAAAGCCCCCTCAAGAGTAACTTTAAGAGAGATAATATTGTTTGTGAAGAAAATAATGTTCCTGAATATTATCTAGTTGGTTAACTATGAGAATTAAAATTGGAAAAAATTACATTTGTTGATAATTGTGTGATTCAGTTGTGAATAAGAAAAACAATAACGTATATTAGCCAGATTTTTTTTTTTCCTATAACTTTTAATATTTTCGGTAATCATTTGATTAACGTATATTATAATCGTTGCAAAAAGTTTTTTATTCATTTTTTTTCAGAAATCTCACCTTAGATCTCAGATGAGAATTTGGCATGAGATCTCACATCAGATATCAGATAAGATCTTGGGTGAGATTTGTCAGGAGGGTACTCAATGAGTACTTACTTTACTGGCTAAAAAAATTTAATTTCTCATCTTAGTATTATCTATGTCCGATAAGTCGCTTTTTAAATAGATGCTTAAAAATCGATGACAAATTAAAAAGAAGTCATCAGTTATCTCTCACCATTTAAAAAGAGAATATTATAACTTTCAATGTTTAATGAGTCAAAAAAAAATCTTTTATACTATGATATTTGAGACCATAATTATAGTTTTCATTACAACTTTTAACTATATTAACATAATGATTTACTTAAACTGCGAAGTACTTGTCTCTTTTTACAGTAGTGACAAATATTTTTTGTTCATTTATCGCACTCTTAGATATTTTAGTAATTTCAGCACTGAGAGAAATTCATTATAAATTTTATAGTAAATCCCCATAAAAACTGCTGTACAGAATGGTAATCGTGGGACTAACACGTCACTCCAGGTCTTTTACTTAACCTCAACAATTTTTAACGTTACACCCAGTAAGAATCATCGGGCACCCCACAAAAATCCCCCTTACGTCTCATGAGCAAAAATTCACAGTAGGTAAGACAGAGACCACAGTTAACGTAGTTTAATTGCATTGTATTTAAAACAATAAACTTATAATAGTATGCATTCATTAAAAATCTTATATATTGTACAGTCAGCTTGCAATACCAAATCTGTTTAGGTTCAAAGTGTTTATATGAATCAAATTGATGCATTTAAACTATTGTACGTAAGTATTTATTAAAAATGGCACATTGTATAACTGGTTACATGCGTTACTGGCGTCATGGTAAATATTATCAAGATTAGGTAAAAAGTCTGGAGTGATGTTCTAGTCCCACGATTACCGTTCTTCACAGTAATGTTTTTGGGTATTTGCAGTAAAATTTATGAAAAATTTCTCTTAGTGAGCTTGTGTTTTTATTTTTATTGTATATGTAACTTTTACTAACAACTTTTTAGGCAACAATGAAGATGGATCGAAGAAATCAAACTTTATATAGAAGACAACGAATATCAACTCTTATAACAGAACTTGGATTAAAAAAATGTGTCTTAAATCAGATTTCTCAGTTATCATGCGGAGAAAAAAAAAGAGTTTCGTTAGCTGTACAGGTATGTCTATTTTATTCAAGGTGTTATGTGTTACATTGAAAAGATTTCTATTTTTTGATGGATACATTTTGTAAGAATAATTTAATTTCCTAACATATTTTATGGAGGACGAGTTTACACAAGCAACTCATTTTTATGCTTAAAACAGTGTGACTAAGAATAACTAAAGGAAACTTTTTTAAAAAGTGCTACGTTGATCATGCCTTAACCCCAATATCTTTTATACCATGAAAATGTGTTAACAATGTCGCTATTATGGTCTCGACAACCTTCTCTTCTCAAATGCTGCATTCAATTTGATTATGATATCATCCAGTATAACCACTCATGATTTTTTACAAAGTACTGATGTTAATAATATTGTTAATATGTGTCTTAAGTGGGCATGTAATAATTATTTCGAATTGGCTGTGAAAGGCAATAATGTATCATCATATTATTTTTTAATTGAAACAAAAAATTTGTAAGAGTACATAACACTTAATCTTTATCCTTAACTTAAAGTTGGCCATTTGAGACACTATATCAAAGATGGATCGCTTAAAAAAATTTTTAAATCCTTAGGCAAAATATACCAAACAAAATCGTTTCAATTACAAATTTGATACAACAGTTGTAAGTATCCGTGAAAAGGAAAAACTGGGTTTACATCCAAGTAAGGCATGAGTTTTTAATAATTATTATAAATGTTTATTTAAATGTAATTATAAAAAAAAACTTAAACATAAAGCAGGGGGACTTGATGTGTTGTAAATAAGTTATTTTTAAAAAATCCAAATTGCCTGCGTGTATATTATCTTATTTTGAAAAAACACTTATAAAAGTTGGAAATCCTTAAAGTAATTCGTGTTATTTTAACTTTCCAAACTTATTATACTCCTTGAAGAATCTTAGATATAGTAATTACTATAAATTTTTTGATACAAAACATGTGTAATGAGTTAGGTGCAATTGTTTATACGAAACTGCAGGTTTTCACTCGTTTTTTGCGTGTTTGGAAAACAATTACATTTAACTCACTAAACATAAATTGTTTCAACAAATTTCCAGTGATGACTTCATCTGTAATTATTTACGGAGTATAATATGCTTTGAAAAGTTGGAATAACATGAATAGCTTTGAGGATTTCTAACTTTAATAAGTGTTTTTTCAAAATAAGATAATATAAACGCAAGTAATTTGGATTGTCAGAGTAGTGGGCTCGGNAACCTAAAAACTCATACGCGTTTTTGAGACCTTATTGAATAATGTTGTAAGAAGGAAAATAAATTTTGACAAAATTCATAACACATTTTGTTTGACTGAATGTGTGAGTTGTATATTCTTAGGTTGGATTTATTATCACATTAATAATAATATCTGAAATTATTGAATGAATAATGCTGTTACAAAGACAGTATGAGGTACGTGTATGATTTTTTAAAAATCATTTCACAATTTTATCTCCGTATATGAACCATATGATGCTATAGTGTTATAATCTATCTATACATGCTAGTGATGGGGGGAAGTTTTGTTTGGTGTCTGACAATTTTTACCGTGTATTACGGTAAAAATTAACTTAGTTATGTAAAAAAGTTTCTTGATGTAACTTTATCTCACGATTACCGTCTGCACGGTTATTTTTGTAGGGACAAAACAATGAAATAAATAGTTTTTTCTCTAAGTGTAATTAGTTGAGTCACTTGCTTTCACATTCGTACACTTGCGTCCTACAGCTTAAAAAAACATTGACGCAAATACTAGTAGCATAGTTACCCTCCTGACAAATCTCACCCGAGATCTCATCTGATGTCTCATGTAATCTCTCACCTGAGATCTCAGGTGAGATCTCATGCCGAATTCTCATCTGAGATCTCAGGTGAGGTTTCTGAAAGAAAAATAAATAAACAAATTTTGTGCAACGCTTATAACACAGCTCCACAAAAAAAATGAAAAAATTACCCATGAGACCTGATCTATGTAACTTTATGTAATCGACCACGCTGAAATTGATTCTGACATCCAAATTGACCTGTCAAGTCCAGTTTTCTTTCTAACCTTAAAAAACGAGCCAAAAATGACAAATCTTTCCCAAAAAAAATGAAAAAAATGACCCATGAGCCCTGAGCTCTGTAACTATATGTAATCGACCACGCTGAAACCGATTCTGACATCCAAATTGACCTATCACGTCCAGTTTTCTTTCTAACCTTAAAAAACGAGCCAAAAATGACAAATCTTTCCCAAAAAAATGGAAAAAATTACCCATGAGACCTGATCTATGTAACTTTATGTAATCGACCACGCTGAAACCGATTCTGACATCCAAATTGACCTATCACGTCCAGTTTTCTTTCTAACCTTAAAAAACGAGCCAAAAATGACAAATCTTTCGGTAACTTCCAGTAAATATTTAATACGGATGCATTGACAACATACCTTATAAAAGAAATGATAAATATTCTGTAGTAAACATCTCAAAATTACTTTGTTTGATAATATTTTTTTAGATAAAACCCTGCTATAACGGTTGCTACCTGCGATTATTTAATACGGATACATCGACGACATACCTTATAAGGGGAATGATCAATTTTTTGTTGTATACATCTCAAAATTTCTTTGTTTAATAATATTTTTTTAAGACAAATCCCTGCCCCAATGGTTGCTACCTGTAAATATTAAATACGGATACATTGACGACAAACCTTATAAGAGGAATAATCAATATTTTGTAGTATACATCTCAAAATTTCTTTGTTTAAAATTATTTTTTTAGATAAAACCCTGCCCCAACGGCTCCTTCCTGTGAATATTTAATACAGATACATTAACGACATACCTTATAAGAGGAATGATCAATATTTTGTAGTATACATCTCAAAATTTTTTCGTTTAATAATATTTTTTTAGCTAAAACCCTACCCCAACGGTTACTACCTGTGAATATTTGATACGGATACATTGACAACATACCTCATAAAAGGAATGTTCAATATATCGTAGTATACATCTTAAAATTTCTTCGTTAATAATATTTTTTTCGATGAAACCCTGCCCCAACGGTTGCTACCTGTAAATATTTAGTACGGATACATTGACGACATACCTTATAAAAGGAATGATCAAAAATTTGTAGTATACATCTCAAAATTTTTTCGTTTAATAATATTTTTTTAGCTAAAACCCTACCCCAACGGTTACTACTTGTGAATATTTGATACGGATACATTGACAACATACCTCATAAAAGGAATGTTCAATATATCGTAGTATACATCTTAAAATTTCTTCGTTAATAATATTTTTTTCGATGAAACCCTGCCCCAACGGTTGCTACCTGTAAATATTTAGTACGGATACATTGACGACATACCTTATAAAAGGAATGATCAAAAATTTGTAGTATACATCTCAAAATTTTTTCGTTTAATAATATTTTTTTAGCTAAAACCCTACCCCAACGGTTACTACTTGTGAATATTTGATACGGATACATTGACAACATACCTCATAAAAGGAATGTTCAATATATCGTAGTATACATCTTAAAATTTCTTCGTTAATAATATTTTTTTCGATGAAACCCTGCCCCAACGGTTGCTACCTGTAAATATTTAGTACGGATACATTGACGACATACCTTATAAAAGGAATGATCAAAAATTTGTAGTATACATCTCAAAATTTTTTCGTTTAATAATATTTTTTTAGCTAAAACCCTACCCCAACGGTTACTACTTGTGAATATTTGATACGGATACATTGACAACATACCTCATAAAAGGAATGTTCAATATATCGTAGTATACATCTTAAAATTTCTTCGTTAATAATATTTTTTTCGATGAAACCCTGCCCCAACGGTTGCTACCTGTAAATATTTAGTACGGATACATTGACGACATACCTTATAAAAGGAATGATCAAAAATTTGTAGTATACATCTCAAAATTTTTTCGTTTAATAATATTTTTTTAGCTAAAACCCTACCCCAACGGTTACTACTTGTGAATATTTGATACGGATACATTGACAACATACCTCATAAAAGGAATGTTCAATATATCGTAGTATACATCTTAAAATTTCTTCGTTAATAATATTTTTTTCGATGAAACCCTGCCCCAACGGTTGCTACCTGTAAATATTTAGTACGGATACATTGACGACATACCTTATAAAAGGAATGATCAAAAATTTGTAGTATACATCTCAAAATTTTTTCGTTTAATAATATTTTTTTAGCTAAAACCCTACCCCAACGGTTACTACTTGTGAATATTTGATACGGATACATTGACAACATACCTCATAAAAGGAATGTTCAATATATCGTAGTATACATCTTAAAATTTCTTCGTTAATAATATTTTTTTCGATGAAACCCTGCCCCAACGGTTGCTACCTGTAAATATTTAGTACGGATACATTGACGACATACCTTATAAAAGGAATGATCAAAAATTTGTAGTATACATCTCAAAATTTTTTCGTTTAATAATATTTTTTTAGCTAAAACCCTACCCCAACGGTTACTACTTGTGAATATTTGATACGGATACATTGACAACATACCTCATAAAAGGAATGTTCAATATATCGTAGTATACATCTTAAAATTTCTTCGTTAATAATATTTTTTTCGATGAAACCCTGCCCCAACGGTTGCTACCTGTAAATATTTAGTACGGATACATTGACGACATACCTTATAAAAGGAATGATCAAAAATTTGTAGTATACATCTCAAAATTTTTTCGTTTAATAATATTTTTTTAGCTAAAACCCTACCCCAACGGTTACTACTTGTGAATATTTGATACGGATACATTGACAACATACCTCATAAAAGGAATGTTCAATATATCGTAGTATACATCTTAAAATTTCTTCGTTAATAATATTTTTTTCGATG